CTTCATCACCTCATCATGACGAGAGCAGACGATCTCCTGGAGATTCTTGAAAGGGTCCACCAGCTTGTGCTTCTTCAATTGTGGAGCTTCATAGTGAGGCTGGAGGTGATCCCCACAGTAGGAAGCAGGACACAATAAACAGGACTTGACAGCTTTTCTTTTCCTCCCAGTGCAGACATCACAGGGCACATCTTCAGGTCCAGCATAGCAGTGATCAGCTCCAGCAGCTTGGGGTCCAGTCTTTTTTAGGTCTTTCACTAAAGCAGACAACATGACATTTGGTTTTAGAAAAGGCTTTAGACTGAACTCCTTCCTGCACTCAGGGCAGCTGTAGATTCTCCTGTGATCTTCTCCATCCCAGTGGGTCTTAATACATTTCATACAGTAGGTGTGTCCACAGGGAATAGTCACAGGATCAGTCAATAGTTCCAAACAGATAGTGCAGGAGAATTTTGCTCTGTTTAGCTGAACTTCTCTCCGAGCCATTGTACCTCTCAGTAAAAAGGATGTGTTGGTTTTATTCACTTATAGCAGAAGCAGCCTTGTTAATACAGTAACTGAAATGGGCAACACCCATCCTTACCAACGGGGAGGGTTGAGTTTCGTTTTTTCAAAACAGAAACAGACCTCAGCATGCCACTGCAGCCAATGGCACTGCAAGATCCTGACAGGGAGGGAATAGGGAAATATATTTACCTATTCTTTACTCCATAGTCTGATGCAAGTCCAAACAGGTTTATAGTCCAAGCGCCTCATACCAAATGAGAACAGAAACTGTCAGATGAATCTGACTCAACTTTTTAATCTTTCTTCAGTTCTGACAAATATTTAACTTCTAATGAATCATTCTGACTAGATGTAATTTAACAATACATTTTTTGATCATTGAAGGTAAAAGCATTATATTTAGGAATATTTGAGATAAAGGACTATTATAACAGCGAAACAAAACTTAATAGAGGAAATGTGCAGGATCAGAACATAGACGCCAGAATACATACAGTATATATTCAAAGGCACTTATTGAATAAGCGTGTAGTTTCTTTAAATATGTTTATCATGGCAT